TATATATATTCATTTTCTTGCGTATATTAGAGTGGTCTGTTTTAAATTGCATTACAAGAAACCTTAATGCATAAAAATAAGTTCCAGTGTTATTGACACACTTAAAACATTATTTAGAATAATATTAATCCTTCTCAAACAATCTTTGCATCAAAGGTTGTTCGAATGCCAAGTTAGGATGGAATTTTATAATGAAACTATTAGCTAAATGGCAAAAGCCGATTTTGGGTCTAATTTGTCGCAGATTTTATCCTCTTAACTGAAATAATCAAAACCAAACATTTGCTTAACTTAATTTGTTAATATATATATATATAGATGTATATTTAGGCAGCAATCCTTCCTTTATGCATGTTTCATTAAAAACGACAGACAAGGTACTACGGTTGAGCATTTTATTTAATTTTTCTTGTGTTCTGACTAGAGCTTTCTTTTCTGGACAAAGGGTGTGTAAGAACTGTCCAAATGTTTTATATTTCCGAGCGCTTTCGGCTATACCTTTAGCCATTATCAAGGATGATTCAATTTTTCAGCTTAATTGAGTGTGTGCGTTATGTGTATGTCTTAGTGTGTGGTAGCTTAAAAATCGAAATGTCTTAATATATATATATATATTCTCTTTATTAAGGTAGCAAATGTTCTTTAAGGCAAATGTTATCTAAAACAGCAGAGATATTTTCGGTCAATTAATTTTAATGATCTCCTTTTCGAAAATTGCGAATGCTCTGTCTCAGACAAGGATGAAAATCCATCGGAAATTGTCCGAAGATCATTTCAGAAGAAAATTAAAAGAAATATTGTACAAGCTTTCAAGTTTCTTAACTCATCATCAGGGTTGGTAGAGATAATTTGTGAGTTTTGTTTAACTATTCAGTGTTCTGACGTATCGAAAGAGTTGTCGTAAGCGAGGTGTGACATGTGCATTTTGTTTTGTTTTGTTTTTATATATACATTTGAGGTTGCGGGCTTATAAGTTATAATTGTTTTTTATTTATTGATTGTTGTTTTAGTCGTATGAGTAGAGTATTGCTTCAAGAATTATGTCTGTTTTTACTATTTGATTTCTCTAGTAATTTTGCCATTGTTTTTGTGTAGCTGTCCTTTGGGTGACAGATGATTCGCCGTGAGAGTGCGGCTGTGGTATATCCTATATGAGACGTTTTCTGTTTTTTATTTGCAAAGAAACATTCTCTGATTACGCATGTATATTCACACACAACCTTGGTCTTATATAGAGGATAATATATATTATTTTTAAATAATAAATCTGATGCATTTATTTTTATTGGCTGGTTTGATGTGTCTATATATGATGTTTTATTACTGTTTCGATTTTTTTGTAATTATGGTGTATTTGATTTGGGCAATGTATATTAATACCATTATTGTCAATATTATGTTGCTGACTGGTTTTTATTATTGAATTTGTTGTTTAAATTATTTTTTTTTTGTCAACTCTATATTTAGGCTACCTATTATTAAGTGTTTGGTTTATATTATTTAATTCTTGAAGGAAAATTATTTTGGAAAGGAAAATGAGAGTAGCTCTTTGGATTAGGTTATTAATGACAGAAGTTATATATTTTTCAGGGCATTCACTGCTGTAGTTTAGAAGGCAAGAGTTGGAACTAGTATAATTTTTATACAGTAATGTGGTAAAATTATCGCTGTTGTAGTCGGTGAAATTATATAGAAATAATATATATTATCGATATGTTCTGTTTTTTCTTTTTATTTCCAAAGCGAAACGTTTCATATTTGATCTTTTTAAAGTTCTATAATGCCATTAACTGGTTTGGCTTTTGAGGAAGATGAAGATTACAGAACTTAAAAAAAAAAAAAAAAATGAAGAAAATTCCGTTTTAAAGTTCTGGTGGGTTTCCGGTTCCTTCTAAAGTCTACTTCAAATCTATACTTCTAATGTCCACATCTAAAGCCTGTAATAATATTTTTCTATCTATTTTTATTTAATTATAGTTTTTCCTCAATAGAAACAGATAAGTTCGCCTATCATCCGGTTCACACTCCTCTCCGGTCTTTTGAGCAGGGGTAGAGGTTTATTACTTGTTTCCGGTTTAAGATAGGTTTTCCGGTCTATACATCTAACGTCTCCACCTATTCTCTGAAAGTTTTTTTATTATATATTTCTTATTATTTACTAAATTTTTTTCCCTCAATGGAAGTAGATAGGTTCGCCTATCGCCCAGTTCGCACTTTAACCCGGTTTTTTAAACAGGAGTATAGGTTTATCACGTTTCCTGTTTATGATAGGTTTTCCAGTTGCTTCTAAAGAGTTCTCATTCTATTTTGCTCTCAGTAGCCTCTTGCGTCTTAGCGGCATTATCGCTTTAATTGGTGTGAATAGATTAATATATATATATATATATATATATATATATATATATATATATATATATATATATATATAAACAAAATTTGGAAAAAAAACAAAAAATCCTAAATGCAATTATATTGTTTAAAATGAATGAAATGTTGACGTCTGACGTTTCGGTTTAATAAACCTTCTTCAGGACAATATTCATTAAAATACAATATTCATTAAAATACAATATTCATTAAAATACAATTCAGTTCAATTTGTCAAATTGAACTGAATTGTATTTTAATGAATATTGTCCTGAAAAGGTTTATTAAACCGAAACGTTAGACGTCGACATTTCATTCATTTTAAACAACATAATTGCATTTAAGATTTTGTTTGTTTTTTCCAAATTTTTCTTCATTCTGTCGGATCTATATCCATTTACATTTGCTTACATATATATATATATATATATATATATATATATATATATATATATATATATAAATATGTTGTAGTGGTTCCAACGAGAGAAAAGTATGTATATTAAAAAGAAGAGGGTGCCGCAAACGTTTTTTGGTTGTAATGTGGATTTATTGAGAAAAAATATTATACTTTGTTTTACATATAATTTCACGACACGTGTTTCTGGTCTGGTCTCGCAACCGTCTTCAGGTGAAAGTGGAATTTTTACATATTATTAAAAATAATTAATTTTTCTTCATGTTCAATGTGGAATATTCTCGATATGAGACATTCTGTTTGTGTGTTGGCAATCCGAATTTTCTTTCTAGAATTGTCAATGAAGAGTTCTGTGTGAAGGGTCATAAAACAATTAAGGTTTTGTCCAGCGAGTAGTTATCGGCATTTAATCTTTTAATGTTTTAGTGACCTCTATGTGCTCTTGGATCTGTTTCTATTTTGGCGTGTTCCTGTCAGCATGCGTGTATATATGCGTGCGTATATTTCCTTACTACGAGGAATTCGTAAACTTATTTGTACTTAGGTCAAAACAAAGTTTAATATTTTTTCTCAATAAATCCACATTACAACCAAAAACGTTTGCGGCACCCTTCTTTTTAATATATATATATATATATATATATATATATATATATATATATATATATATATATATATATTATTATTATTACTATTATTATTATAAGTGTTATTTATAAATCAAGGGTGCTGAAAAGATCTCTCTTCAACAAAAACGACTTCAAAATAAATTCTCTTATTGGGTCAAATCAATAGATATTGAGAAACGGGTCTTATCACTATTTCTATTATTATATTTTTATGTGCATGACTACATATACGTATATACGCACACACACATACACACACGCGCGTGTACACACATATATATATATACATATATATATATATATATGTACTGGTGCGATGAATAAATTGTTGTCTAAATGACGGAAAAATGAAAATGACGCTGACATCTTATTTTAACAGTTATATTTACCAAAATTACACAAGAATATCTTGAAATATCAAAGAGTCAATTTATTCAATAAAATCTCCATTGGCTTCCGCTACTATTTCCAGACGACTTCGGAATCTCCTGCATCTCCTTGTTTAAGTTGGTGAATGCTGTCATAACCGTTGCCTTCGGCTCATCTTTGGTATTACAAGAAGTTTTGTTGGCCGTTCGCTCAACTGCACCCCACGTATAATAATCAAGGGGGTTGCAAATCTGGGAAGTTAGGTGGTTATATGTAAGGGGTTATGTAGTCGCAGAAATTGTTGGACAGGCATTACAAGGTTCACCTGTTGTTGTGCCATGGGACAGAGTCATGTTGCCAGACATAGGGTCTTCTTGCAGCCATCCTCTTGACCCAGGACAGCACTACCTCCTCAAGGCACTTGATGTAGGTCTCCGTGTTGAGTCTGAGGTCCTCACCAACAAATTCGGAAGTTCTTTTCTTATCAGGACGATCAAAGTGAGTTTTCTGAGCTACTGTACCGTCGTAATCACCATTAGACTCATCTAACTCTTTCCAAATCCTCTGCACTGTTCTTATATTGACACCCAAACACTCTGAAATGTTCGTATTGAAATTTCCGGCGCGAATGCCAAGCAGTACGCATGCCGTTTCCAAATTTCTGGCAGATTGAATTGCATCATGGTGCTCTTTTTTCTAACAGACGGTGCCCAACTGACCCTACTATACTGTGCAGTCGTATAAAAGTTAAAAAAAAAAACAAACAAAAAAAAAACGGGCATGTGTGAAATTAAGAACATAAAATGGCTACAATTTATCCATCGCACCCTGTATATATGTATACATGTATATGTTTATATGTGTGTATGTGTGTATGCATTGCTAATGTGTTATGTGGCAAAGTTGTATATGTAAACAAGTAAACACACATATATATATATATATATATATATATATAATCCCACATATTTTTGCGCACGTATTGATGTGTTTGCGTGTGCACGCGCGTTTGGTGCTCTCTTTCCTCTTTGGCACTGCCGTATAATTGGACTTCGTCACGCCATTTGAATCCGACATCTTGACGGCTCGAGGTCGCAGAGAAAAGTAATTACCTGGCGTCTCCAACCCACATCTCCACTTTCCGTGTCTGTCAACTATCACCTCTTATGACAAACTAAGGATATTCGATAACCAGTCAAAAAATTAAGCTTTCAACAATGTTGCAAGAATTTCCAAATAACGTGGGCGGTGGCGGCGAGGAGTGGGGGTTTGATATCTGGCAAAAACAAAATGCGGAAAGCTTTATAGGGATACAATGGAAAGACCTCACATTTAAAAAGCCTGTAGATGTGTGTTCAGGAGAAGACCTCTTTTGGACATTCGTTTTCTTGTCCGTACACTCGTCTCTCCTTCAACTGATCTTTTTTTTTATTTTTCAGGCTTTAGTCCATTAACACGCTAACCTATCCTACTCTTTTTTTCTTTCATCTTCCTCGCCTTCTTTCTATATTTCCCTCTCTCTACCTATCCCTCTTCTTTCCTTCTGCCCATCTCCCTCACAATCTATTCCCTATCCGGCTTAGTTTTCTTCTCTCCCCTCTGCCTCTCTCTTCGATCTTTATTTTCTCTATTCCCTCTCTCCTTCGTTCTCTCGGTCTCTCTCTCACTCTCTCTCTCTCTCAGTCCTGGCCTTAGTAATCTCTCTTTTAGTCCATTAAGACTCTATCCCTATTCTACTCGCCTCTTCCTCCAACTCCCTCTCTCTACTTGTCCCTCTTCTTTCCTCCATCTCTATATCCCTCACAATCCATTCCCTATCTCCCAATCCGATTCAGACTACTTCTCTCCCTTCTCCATTCATCATCTATTTTTTCTTTAATCTCTCTCTCTCTCTCTGTCTTTCTCTCCCAGTAATACTGTTAATCTTTCTCACTTCTTTTTCCCCTTTCCATGCCTGTATTCAGTCCCATAATCTCTCAATCTTTCTTCCCTAATAAGCGTCTGTTTCTTTCTCTCACCATTCATCTCTTTCTCTTTCTTTCTCTGTCTCTTTCTCTGTTTCTGTCTGTCTGTCTCTCTCTCTCTCTCTCTCTCTCTCACACACACACACAAACACACACATACACACAACACACTTTCTCTCTCTCTCATTCATTCCTATTCGTTCCTTCCCTCTGTTTCTGCAGCTATAACCACCATATATGGACAAAGTCATATACTCGATGAGATAGGTAAATTGTCGCCATTTTATATTTTTAAATTTGATTTTGTCGACTGCAAATCTCGGAAAATTCACTCTGGTCGTTCTAGTAAGAAAAGAACTTCCCAATTTGTTAGTGAGGGCCTCAGCCTCAACTGGGAAGGGGGCCTACATCAAGTGCCTTGAGGAGTTAGAGCTTCTTTGGGTTAGGAGAACCCAGTCACAGTTTTCAAACAATTTCTGCAACCACATCACCCTTACATCTGGCCACCTAATTCCCTAGACTGCAACACACAGTGTAGGAAGCAGTTGAGCGAGAGCCCAACAAAACTCCAAAAGATGAACTGAAGGCAAGGATTATGGCAGCATTCATCAACTTAATCAAGGCGACTCCCCAGAAGAGTTGCAGCAGATTCCGAAGTCGTCTGAAGTTTGTGTTTGAGGCCAATGGCGATTTTATTGAATGAATTTGCTCTTTAGTATTTCAAGATATTTTTGTGTAATTTTGGTAAATCTGTTAAAATGAGATGTCAGTGTTATTTTTATTTTGCGTAATTTAGACGACAATTTATCCATCACACCCTGTATGCGTGTGTATATATATATATATATATATATATATATATATATATATATATATATATATATATATATATATATATATATATATGGGGGGTAACTCAAAAATTATCCGTACTTTCATATAACACATCTTTGGAAATAGGTGTGGAAAATTGCTTACTTTCCGCCTGTATTTATTTAGATATATAATGGGTATGTCCACTATTTCGGCATAAATTTTCTATATTGAAGTTTAAAAAATGAATTTTTACAATGAAAAAACATTCTTGAAGATTTCATTTTAGCTTTAATTGAAAGTTTAATAACTAAATTTACGATTTCTATTAATTAAACAATTCTGGTGTATTTCAGATAGAAACTATATACATTTGATTGTCAAATTTAATTTCAAATTTTAAATTTTCTTAAAAACGGCCATTTTCTTAATTTTAAGAAATTTGTAAACAAACACAAATTTATCGATTTTAAAATATTTAAAAAAATTCTGACACGTTATTTTAGTAAAATTAAAAATTTAAAGTTAAAGTAATCTGATTTCAAAGAAATCTTTGTTACTTATAGCATAAAAAATAATATACAAGCAATTATTTACGAGCGGTCTCGTTCATCTGTTCGATCTTATTGATACTGGTTGATTGACGAGCCGATAACAGCTACTACTGATGACCATAAATGACATAATTTTTAAGTCTGAGTTTAAAAATTATTCTATTTTAGTATGACACACACTAATGGAAATACAATACATAAAATAAAATTATTTAGTGAAATAGTAAATGAAAAAAAGAAAAAAATAATTTAAAATTTAAAGTTTACACTTTTACAGCTGATCGGAAAATACAATCTGTTAATAAACGAAATGTTTTGAAAAAGCCACGTAAAGGGACAAAACCCTTAGATCACGTGACCTTGTTATAATAATGGCAATTTCTGTATATCATACATGGAAATAAGGAATGTATTAAGTAAAAAAATACAACATAAAAAATTATTTTTAAAAAGTAGCTCAACTAAATTTATTAAACTTAGCAAATTTGGATTCGTAAATTTTTTCTACTTAATTACTACATAATATTGAGGGGCCTCCTAATACAGAGCTTTACGCGATGTTAAACTATTATAAATTATTATAATTAAAACTTCTTAAAAAACGAAAAATTCTTGTAAAAATTAATTATTCATCAGAAAAAATTATTTCTTCAGACAATAATGTCCTTAATATTACTTATTTACAAAAGCAATTAAAAGCTTTTTCTAATTAAGTAATATCATAGTTTTATTGGATTCATTATTTTTCAATTCAGACAAGATTTTCAGTTAAGTAGCTCAAATTTGTGAAAAGAAAAGTAGGTTATTTACCATCTCCAAAGATTCCTTCTTTTAACAAAAATAAAATTGAGGAGCCAAAAGGTTTTGGGCGAAATTTCATGAAATTAACTAAGTGGGGGTAACATATTTAAAAAAATATTTTTTACCAAAATTTTCTAAAAACAAAATATTTGAAAAATAATTTCATTCATTTGTGAATAAGTCCTGAAAATTTCATTAAGATTGGACAATTATTCTATTTTTACAAGAATTTCCAAATCAATATATTTTCAACGGTAAAAAACGCAAAAAACTGTTATTTTAAAGGTCGCCGCGATGACGTAAACAAAGACGACTTTAACCAAAATTTCGAACGTGTTAGAAAATATTAAAAAATTCAAAAAATAATTAAAAAAATACTTTTTTTCTTTCATCTTAATAATAACATAAGCATTTTAACGATAATACTTTATTTTCTTTAAGTTTGTGGCATTTTTCATTTACGCTATGCTGTTTTTCCGCGAAAACAGTGGACATACTTAATATATAACGTATATGGTGACGTCATACATATATATATATATATATATATATATATATATATATAACTGCCTTAAAAAACAAAAAAAAATATTTGTATTAACACTCATGATGATAATAGATATAAAGTAAAACTGAAAAACGGGCTAGCTAATCGGTTTCGAACCTCGCTCAACAGAGCTAAATCGAGGTTAATAAACTGAATTATCACTAAAATGGACGATATGTATTGGAGAAGAACCAAAAATATATATATTGTTTAGATGGAAATTAGTTGGAGGCCTAATATGAAGTCCTTCTGTTTACACAGAGAGTGTTTCAATGATAAAATATAGATTGCTTCCAACAGTTTCAAGTGGTAATTCGAGTGGAACTTGCTAAGAATGGTAAATGAGTTCACACTGAAACAAGTAGCAAAATTATGGCTATTTATTAGGTATTCTGCGATGGAAGATCCGTATGCATATGGTCGAAATATCTGAAAAAGTGTACTTAAGGTTTGAGATTTTCGATGGCAAATGATGGTTTATTCTGGCATCCAACCATTGAGTCTTTCTTCCTATGTATCGCGAACCACAACTACATTTAAAGGAATAAATTAAAGAACTATTATGATGTGGAGGTAGAATGTCCTTACGCATGGACGGAAGGATAGGCTTAGCAGAAAAGACCACACGAGTGTTAGCGGTAAAGTAACAATGTTGAACTGCTACAGAAACCTGCTTAGCATATCTGTCACTGATATTTCCCAGCCAAGAAATGCGCAGGTACACAGGACATCTTTTTACTATAGCGGGTTTGACTTTATTGAATCAGCAATTTTATTCTTAATAATTGCTTGAACAATGCACAATGGACAGGCATTGTTACAGAGAGTAGTTGTAATAAATAAATGTTCATCGTACAACTTAATTTCGGAACAGATCATAAGAGACCTATGGGCAATGGCTTTAATTAAATTAATTTTACGTTTCATGGGACAAAAAGAATCCCAACAGGTATATAAACCAGTAAACGTCGGTTGACGGTAAACAGAAGTAACAAAACCCGACGAAGATCTGTTATCCAAAACATCAAGAAAGAGAAGAGACGAATCAACTTCCTTTTCTTGTGCAAATTTTAAAGCTGGGTGCATATTATTAAGAAACACAGGAAATTGATCCGCTTCAATCTAGTTATCGAAGCGACATAAAGTGTCATCGACGTAACGGAAATAAATGTCAGGTTTATCAGGTTTCAATAACACTCTCTTCCTGGAACCCAACAAAGATATTTGCTAAAATAGGACCCAAAGAGGGAAACCATCGAAACATCATCAATTTGCCTGTACATGACACCGTCAAAACTCAACTCGACTGACATCGTGGCAAATTTCATCAGTTCGACAAAAACGCCCTCCGGAATAAGAGGTGGGGACAGTTGATTACCATAAAGGACATCAGCACATATATCGATAGTCTCAGCAAGTGGAACGCAGGTAAATAGGCTGGAATTGTCGTAGGAACACATAAATTTATCCGTCAACGTATAGCGCTGCATAAAATGAGAAAATTCAAACGAATCTTTAATGCAGAGTCATATTGCTCCAAAACTGGCAATAGTATGGTAGAAAGCCATTGAGCCACGCCATGCTGAGAAGACCCTATCATAAATAAATATATATATATATATATATATATATATATATATATATATATTATATATATATATATATTCAACACTATCATGATAAGACACCAGAAATGTTGAAACAAAATGGTTATTGTTGTAGTGATTGTATAATATATTTATGTTATGATTTTCGAATAAATTATATATATATATATATATATATATATATATACAAAGAAATAATCACACATAGAATCAATCAGAAGTATTAATGCGATTATTGGCGACATCCATCGCTAGAAACATAATATATGCATTAAAATACTGTTAATCCATAGTGCGAAGTGATCCTCGTCGAAAAACTTGATGTCTGTAGTTTTCAGTTTATTTGATGTTAAAATGCTAGTACTTACGAATAGTCCTCTATTCATCATCAGGCATGTGTTTTTTTTCCTTATAAAATCAAAAACTTGAAGACGAAATACTTGTATGTCGACCGAAAGATGTTTTATTGAACTATATACTTAGTTCATGACATAAAAACTGAATACACTTGTAAAATAGAATACGTGGATTTAACACATTACAAGAAATATTTAAATAAAATTCTCACTTAAAAATTTTGAAAAACTTAGCGTTGCGTCTTTGCACGTCCCGAGATCTTACACAATCGTCAATAATAGCAGATATTCAAAAAACATCTTTCGGTCGACATACAAGTATTTCGTCTTCAAGTTTTTGATTTTATAAGGA